TTTAGGAACAGAGAAATCTAGGTGGCCACAACGTGCTGGGCATGCAGCTAAGATACAGACAATGGCCGCACAATTAATTCTGGCGAAGAAACGGAAAAGCCTGCTGGAAACACAACATTAAAGTGAACCTTGCGGATACTGGTGCTGAGGACGACAATCCGTTTTAATATTACTCATTTAAACCTGTCTCGGACGAGGTTTCTTTTTTCATTCATATTCCCAGAATGCAATTCTGTACGCATTTTCCATCTCTTTCATGTGTGCTACATGCCAAGCCCATATCATCCTCCTTGCATTAAGACTAATGCATTCACCAATTTAAATTACAACACTTACTTATTTAACAAAATATAAATAGTGACCCACTGTTATCATTTGGCTTGAAGTAGGGCGAATGCGCAAAAACAAATTTTCTCTCAGTGCTACAGCTTGTTCTGGTGTCTAGTAGATTTCAAATCTTGCATCACGATCTTCCTGGCTGTGATGCAGATGTGGGAATTTGTAATACACCCACACAAAGAAACAGAAATACCATATTCAAAGATACAATGAATGAAAGCAGATGACCTAAGATAACAATATACAGAATGTCCGGATGAAAGGTATCCAAAATAAAATCATTGTATCTCAGAAATAATTTATTATACACATTAATGGGAAATACCATTACAAAGGGAAACTATCAAAATGTTTTTCTGAGTATATAACTTTCTCAGTAAATTTAAATGTGGGCTCCCTTGATGGAACGACAAATATCCATACTTGAAGCATGTTTGGTGTTAAATCTGGCGACCTAGAAAGCCAAGCGATTGGTCCACCTCTGCCAATTCATATCCCAGCCATCTCTCTGTCCAGCTGATTCCTAACATGGTGGCAAAAATGTGGCGGCGTATGCGCGTAGGCCGGTATGAAAGAAAACGTTCAAAGTTTTCTTATCCGATGACATAAACCGGATACGTGTACGACAATTTGTTTCCGAGATCTACTTTTTTTTTATTTTGGATACCTTTCAAAGAGTAAGGGAAACACCGAGATGAAGCAGAGGGGATTTCGAGGCCGGTACTGGGGTACAATAAGAACAAATAAGTACTATAGGTAAGGTAAAAGGTAAAGCTGTCCCTGTGCTTAACTAATTAAGCACTACACCATGAAGGCGTATGGGGGAATGGATGAATAGATCAACATTTTCTTGACCTTGGATAAATACTACAGGGCTAAGTGTAAATCTTTCAGACGATGGAAACAACGAACATGAATTTAGTTTTGGACACTGTCGTCTTGAGTTTCCTTTTTTTTTTTAAGCACAAAGTTTCAGAAACTGCATCTGTTTTTATCCCTATGTGTAGGGGTGTGAACGTTCCTACTTATTTGGACCCACCCAATAATAGACTAGCTCTTTCTAACGGGCCCAACTAAGTAGGAATCAACAATCAAGTTCCTTCCGTCAAATGTGACACTTTTATAAGTTTTCCACCTCGTCACCACCTGCCTTACATGTTTCGGCTCACCACGGAGCCATCATCAGAGGCATTTATAGTAGAAAAAGAAATCACCAACACACAAAACTTCACTTTGTTAAAAATAGCCACGTTCCAGTTAATTAAAATAATTACAATAGTTAAAATTGCCGAGAGTGTCGGTTCACTAAAGGTTTTCCACACACCACGGTAGCTTTCTTATTTAATTCGTCGTTAATTCTGTAAAAATTATGTTTCGTTATTTGAAGTAAGAATTCTTAAAATTCCTAGAATTCTTTCCCGCTTGGCCCAGTCTTTTTTCTTCGGGATGTTGTTGACGTGTGTTGCCTGTCGGTTGTTGATGTTGCTTGTCTGTGTGTTGCGATGCTTGTGTGCTTCACACAAGCACATGCACACAAGCATCGCAACACACAGACAAGCAACATCAACAACCGACAGACAACACACGTCAACAACATCCCGAAGAAAAAAGACTGGGCCAAGCGGGAAAGAATTCTAGGAATTTTAAGAATTCTTACTTCAAATAACGAAACATAATTTTTACAGAATTAACGACGAATTAAATAAGAAAGCTACCGTGGTGTGTGGAAAACCTTTAGTGAACCGACACTCTCGGCAATTTTAACTATTGTAATTATTTTAATTAACTGGAACGTGGCTATTTTTAACAAAGTGAAGTTTTGTGTGTTGGTGATTTCTTTTTCTACTATAAATGCCTCTGATGATGGCTCCGTGGTGAGCCGAAACATGTAAGGCAGGTGGTGACGAGGTGGAAAACTTATAAAAGTGTCACATTTGACGGAAGGAACTTGATTGTTAATTTGTTAGTGTGACGGACCAGAATGAAAGACCTTAAACTTAAGTAGGAATCTTTTCTACCTTGCAACTGACGACGGATACGGATCCAGTTTCCGAAATACCGCGTTTGGAAAAGCCAAAGGTGTTTATTAAATACTACACAATAATCTCACAGAACAGGTAACTGAACAAACCATTTCCATATACAAATTACCGTATTTACGCATGTATAGGCCGCAGCACAATTTTCAGACAGAAATTATAGAAAAAATAATTTTCTTGGAATATTATTTCAGGAGTAGAACACCCTGTATCACTAATTATGAATACAATTTTTTTTAAATGAAGTGTGATTTCGAATATTTCGAATATAAGCCGCACTCCAGTTTTCCTCTTGAATTTTTGGCAAAAAATTTGCGGCCTATACATGCGTAAATACGGTAATTTCAAGAACCACACGAGGCAAGCAAACAACAAAACTTGTAGTTTGGAATCCTCAGAAAAGAGAAACTTTTAACATCAAATTTTAAAACTGTACGGAAAGGTTAAAGGTATGAGTAATCACCTAGCTACTGTACACAAGCGAAGTCGGTGACATCTGAATCAACGAGTTTCTTGTACGTAACACAGAAATGCCGAGGGTATTAGAGTTTCACCATGTCTACTCAACACTTGTGACACTTCCCACTCGAAAGTCAACATATCACGGTTCAGCGTAATAAATTTTAACCATGTACACTCGCATATTTAACAACACACCGTTTCTCCACAGTCACAAGCAATTAAGAAAACACGGGCAAATATTCCTCAAACTTCTAGCAACGTGTTTCCCAAAAGTTACGGAAACCTTGTTTCTTAGAGAGAACGGAATACGAGAAACTTCATTTACGCGTTTTATCCTGTTACCTCCACTACGTGTCCACCTTTCTTCTTCCAGGTACTTGACCTAATCTTCCCTGCGTTTCACGTTTCATAAAATATTTCATTTCTGAAAGAAAAGGATGATAGCGTAAAAGCAGATTTCGAACAGGCACTGTATTAAATAGGGCGTAGCACATCAATAAAACGAAAACAACACCGCCCATATATACAATACTGATATATACGCGGAAAGAAACCATGATTACACAGTTTCTCTCTGGAGCCACCCTTAACAATCAGCGTGCTCCCAAATTATTTGGGAGCTATGCTCTAGGATGGAGAGCGCAGGAGCTTCTCACTGGTCGGTATAACGAATTTTATTTCTGGGAGGCAGTTTTGTCCTGGATAACCTATCTCTGCAGTTTAGGTCTCCTTGAACAACCACCTACTCAAGATAACCTCCGCCTTTCAAGGAACTTAGTTTATAACCACTGTTTACAACAGCTCTCAACTGGATCCTATTCTGAACCAGTTCAATTCACTCATCACCTTCACAATCTCATTATCATCCTTCCTTATTCAATTGCCGCAAAATATATCAGGAGAAGAGCCCTCTGCTACTTCCCGTATCACTCTGCTGCTCTTACCAGAACCCCCTGCTTCATGATCAACGACGCCCGACTGCCGATTTCTGTAAACTACTTCTGCGTGTTCTATCCCTTGGTGGGGTTAAGAAAACGAATCACATGATCCAAATAAAACGCAGACACCATTCTTTGGCACATTAACCTACAGGTCGCTCGAACACCATGCGCCTCTGTTATATAGCTCGTGGTTCAAGACGTGCAAAAGTGGCGGTATAGAGACTGGCTATGGCATGGACAACTCAGGGGTCGGAGTTCAAGACTCGGTAGGGTCAAGAGTTTTCTTTTCTCCACGTCGTCCAGACCGGCTCTGAGGCCTATCCAGCCTCCTATTCAATGGGTATCGGGGGCGCTTTCTCCGGGGGTAAAGCGGCCGGGGAGTGAAGCTGACCACTCACCTCCAACTAGTGATGAGGTGAAGAAAATATGGATCTATACATCCACGCCCCCATACGCCTTCATGGAGTAGTAAAATAAAAATAATAATCAGAAGGGTGCTATGGAATTAGGCAGCCTTGCTTGCATCGATGTAAAATAATTCTTTCGCAGCAGAACCCGAAGTTTCAACACCTTTAATTCCAAAACGTAGCAACGAACACTATCCTGAAGCAGTCCAGTCTGCAAAACCTATTTCCAGAAGTCCCGTGTTGCCCTTCTGGCTGCTATTCGGTCATCCATGTGGCCTCTTTTTCAGGGGTTTCCCCCCCACCTGAATGACACAATCGCTTATAGAAGCTCGACTGGATCCCACGTAAAACAGAGGCTATACTGTACAGACAAGAATTCAAATCAAAGTTTACTGTACACTCCAAACACAAAGTTTCACCAAACGACGGTACCAATGAAATATGAGGCAGGGCTGATGAATATGCGAACACCATTCCACTACAGTTCGTTAATTCTATGAACCTGTTCAAATGTAGCATAACTAGTTATACATGCGCCGTCAGCCTTAACGACAACATAAATGTTGCGTCCCGCAACAGCGTGTACCAAGGACGTTTATGAATGACAAGTGGCAAGTGACATTTTCAAGAATTTTCAAGTCATATAATACGGGGTCTAACCACCTGAGGGAGGCAGGAAGATGAAAGCTAGAAGTACATACATGTTGGTCTAGGTTAGCTCTGATGGAGAAGGGCACTTTCACACACACATGAACATTGGGGTGGAGGTGGTGGTGCTGCAGGAACTTTCTCGTTCCTCCTCAGTCAGTTGCCTGTCGACATCCAACTACAGTGGACGCCACTTGACACAGACCGCTGAAGCTGAAGAGATGGGGGCCTACACAGCGATACTCGTGCTCGGTAAGTTACAACACAGGATATGTCCACAGCGGATACACTTTCTCAAAGCTCTAACTATGGGCAGCATGTGTAAAATAGCACAATCTCTTTCCTCGAAGGAAGGCCCAGTTTCAATCCGAAACAATTTCTTCTTAAAGCCCAAAAGTTTATATTCATACTGATCACTCCATGAGAAACACTACCCGTTTCCTTGTTCTTCTTCCTCTTTACTTTTATATTGTACTTATTTTAATAAGTATGGTCCACTTCAAGTGAATCATAATTACACGAATGTGCGCGCGCATGTACGTGAAAAAAACCAGAAACGCCACAGACGTTAGTAAGTGTGACTTCGTTTGGAAATAAAAACTTACAAATCGAAGCAACAGACGAATTTACAGTACAGGTCCATCTCGTATAAATCATTCAAAGGTGTAAAGAAACTTAATTAAATGGGAACAATTATAAAACAAATTTATGTTATATTCATGATGCAGTTAAGAGTAGGTTAAATTTCAGGACTGCTAATACTATCAGGGCCGATTCCTTCATCATCCAGTCTCCTATCTAAACATTATCACCAAACAATTTTTAAGAATTACACCATAAAGAAGCATGGGAGGTGAATGGTTAGCTTCAAGCTCCTGCCGCTTTACTTTTGGAACGCTTCACCTGCACCAGTATAGAAAAGGTTCACTAGAAACTCAGTTTGGATTAACGAAATCTTTATTTCAGTTCCTGTTCATGAGCATTTTTGATTAGTTTAAAATTCTCAATGCACAAACTCGCAGAATTTCTGAAACAAACCATTTAAATCTTGGATTTCTAAACTGTAACGGGGTCACAATAAATCGACTACCATATTATTTAACTCGCTTCTCTTACGCATGCGTTCTGATATGACGCAGAAACAAATCACTGATGCAGCTTAAATGCTATGGTACATTAGTATTTACGAAACGGAAACATACCATAGACAGGTTTACAGTGGCAATGAGTTCGAGTCCTCTCTGGACCTTCCAATGAACTATTGCCCACACATGAAATCCGACCGGCTAATCAACATTAGGGGTCGCCGACTTCTTTTGGCGTGACGGGCACCTAAGAGACGCTCACGGAGCACAAATCGACAGAAGCTGGCTACCATCGGGGAACAATTAAGAAACTGTATTTTAAAATTGTTTCCGGGCACCCAAAAACCTTTCCTGGGGCATCACGTGTCAGCGGGCATATGACTGGCGATCCCTGGTCCAACATTAAGTGGAATAGGAACGGGTGACGTAAGGGAAACGAGAATACGCAGATATGGGGGAAATGACTGTCAAAAATTCGGTTAACAAACTTGGAATTCAAATGCTGATCCTAATTTCTCATTATGAAGTAACATGTTCGTCTTCCGAGTGTCCGTTTACAAATGTTTATTATCACAGTTGAAACTCGCCCTTTGAATGTACATATAACGAATTTCCTGGAGAGCAAACTTACGACTTAGAGAATTTTAGATATAAACTGAACTGGCATAAAAACAACTCCATGAGCCGAAATAAGACATTATTCTTGGAGAGCGCCCAGGATTTTCGTGAAGTTTCGCAAACTCAAAAATACACGTATGTACAAAGTTAACGTGGTGCAGAATACTGCATTCTAATGGATCAAAGTTTACGGTATCTCATAACATGCCTGCAGACCTCAAGACATGGCGGTGGGCATGCTACCACTCGCCTAGAACAGTAACCAGTCCATTCATAAATCCGACTGCTTTCGTGACCCACCACACCCACTATCTGCAAAAGCACACGCCCTCAATTTTCGGGAAACTGATTCTTAAACCCAGCACAAAAGGAGACACAGGTCTCTAAAACACGGCGAACCTTAGGAACTACAGATTTCAGTAGGTTAATATAGCGGTATCGCTCGACAGCGTACCCGCGATTTAAGGATCCCTGGCACCGCCTGAGAACCCTCCACCCTCTCGCGCCTAGAGCAGAAGAAGACAGCCTAGTTGTTAGACCTTCATTTCAACTCCAAACGGGGAGACTGTGACAGCTGAAGAGTGTTCATAAATAAAATACACAGCTCGCAAGGCGCCTGTCCAACACACGACTGTCGGCCAACCCAGTTTCGAGGCAGAGAAAACTAACGTCACTGTCGGTCAATGACATTTCGAGGACACAGCTGAGCGCTGATATGAGGGATCACTGAGCCGCGCCCACACTGGAGACTTGCATATAGGGCCGGTTTTGCCCGCATATGTAACTAACTACACGGAGCTGAGCCCTTCCTGAGAAGCCGCCAGTTGTGCAGCTACTCGACAACCTCCCAGCATTTTAAAGAACCCGAAGTTCGTTACCGTGTTCGCAGCTGGTCCGTATCCTGAGCCAGATGAATCTAGTCCATAGGGCATCATCCTATCTCTCTAAGATCCACTTTATTAAGTATCCACCTACATACGTCTTAGTATTCCTAGTGGTCTCTTTCCTTCTAGCTTTGGCAGCAATATCCTATACGCATTCCTCCTCTCCCCCTTTCGTCCTAGGTGCCCTGCCCACCTCATCCACCTTGACTTGATCATTCTAATTATACTTGGCGACGAGCAGAAGTTATGAAGCTCCTCATTATGCAATTTTCTCCAAACTGATATCACTTCACCCCTCTTCGGTCGAAATATTCTCATCACCCTGTTCTCAAACACTCCCAGTCTAAGTTCCTCCCTTAATGCCAAAGACCAAGTTTCACACCCATACAAAATGAAAGGCAAAATTATAGTTTTGTATGTTCTAATTTTTACGTTTTTAGGCAGAAGACGAGATGAAAAAAGGTTGTGCACTGAATGGTAGCAAGCATTACCCGGATTTAATCCCTTAATTTCCTCCTGAATAAAATTTTGATTTGTTACTGTCGCATCCAAATATGTATTTGAACTGTACCACATTTTCGAAGAATCTGTTAGCTACATTTATGTCATGATTTTGCCCTGCATCCTGGTGATAAGATAGCAACATATACGTAGTTTTCTCTGTATTTACCTCTAGACCAACCTCCTTACGAGCGACAATTAAGTTTCTGTGTTTTTCTTCATGGTATCTATGTTATCTTCCAGAAGATTCACATCATCGGCATAGACCAACAGCTGATGTGTCCCATTTAATTTTGCCCCACCTGGTTTTCCTGGACCTTCTAATGGTATATTCTAAAGTAAAGTTGAAAAGCAGTGGCGATAAAGCACCTCCTTGTTTTAGACCGTTCTGGATAGGAAATTTATCAGACAGACCTTTACCTACACGGACTTTACTATACGTTTCGATTAAACATACTTTAATCAGTTTAACTAGTTTCATGAGTACCCCAAACTCTATCAGAATATTGTACAATGCTTCCCTCCTAAGTGAATCATAGGCTTTCTTGAAGTCTACAAATAGCTGATGTACTCTCCCATCGTACTCCCATTTTTTCTCCAGTATCTGACGAATGCAAAAGATCTAATCAGTAGTCGATTTGTTACACTGAAACCCACACAGATGATCCCAAATAATTTCACCTATACATAGACTCCAGCTTGAGAGAACGATATTGAAAACAATTTTATATGAAGTTGATACCAGTGATATTTCGCGATAATTACTAGAGTCGGTTTTATCGCTATTCCTCTAAACTGGTTCAAAAATAGACTCCTTCCACCGATCAGGCAGTTCTTCCTTATTCCAAACAGAATTAATGAGTTTATGGATGTTTCTCCTCCTGCTTAAATCAGTTCTGCCGGAATTTGATCACTATCTGGCGATTTATGCCTGTCAAACTTTGCAGTAGCAGTTCGAACCTCAAGTGGGCTAGAATCAGATAATAACGGCTCAGCTGTACGCATTTATCTACTTCTATTTGCCTAACATCGCTGACCATATGTACGTTCAATAACTGAGAGCAGTTCTTCCACATATTCAAAACGTTGTGAGAATCTGCAAGCAGGTCCCCATTCTCAACCTTCACTACCTACATCACTAACTACAAGAGCCAGAGCTAGTCTCAACCGCGAGACTGAAATGTCTGTGTGTTCTGGTTGCTTGATTACTTTAATGAACTGTAGGCCTATAAAACGTACTTAATGCAAACTATGAACACTGCCACCATCAAGTATTAAAATGACAAAAGATGGTCAATTAAGAGAATAATACGGATGTGCAATAGATGTTAATTAAGACAACTTTTTGGTCAATGAAAAAGCCTAAAGATGGATTTTAACTGCACTTACGAGAGCTACGCGCTACGTATTTTTGACGAAGTTTGTTTTCCTTGAAACTTCAACAAGCTCTATGCTAGTGTCATATCAGAACACACGTGTAAGGGACCATACTGGTACTCCTCCAGTACGGATGTCAGCTAACACAAGTCACACTACAGTCCATGGCATTTGTTAGGTGGATACGGCCTACTTTCTCACGAATATTTAATGAAATTGCAGTTTAAATTGACAAGGGGTTCTGTGCTCGTCAGCCTCTACGATATCTAGTGCTTACAGTAGCTGTATTCAAATTGCTATCTTACAATATCTCTGTTTCTCATAACCGGCATTGTTCTCAAGGCAGGTGCAATGACTCATAATGCAAGATTCTACATTTCCTATTTTACTTTACAAATTCACGCACTGAATAACTGCATTATTACCATGAAGACAGACACACATATATATTACATAGTTTTGTAACACTATTAAAATTAAAAAGTTCGCAATCATTACTGAAATAACATATTCGAAAACAGACAGCTGGGAGGACTGACTGTATATTGATGTGGAACAATTTTTGCTGTCATGAAAATATATTGGGGCGGGGAGGAATAACTTGTAGAGGTGAGGGAGCTAAGTGCATGTTCCTGTTTCCGACAATTTTGAACTAACTTTGACTGAAAGATGTCAAGTAGTTTCAGCCCTGTTACATAAAATGGTTTTCGATATTTTTTAGAAACGAATGTAACAAAGAAAGAGTTTGATATGAAGTATGGGTTAATGGGTCGATACGGTAAAGTAG